GGGATCTGTCTTGCTTCTTCTGTGTCAGTATCTCCTCCACTGGCTTGCTCCCTCAAGCCCCTGCTTTAGCTGCATGGAACTAGAATTCCCGGACCCTCCCGGTTTTCACCTACATCTCACAGCCTGGGACTTCCAATAGCCACTACCCACCATGCAATGTCTGTGCCTGCCTGGTTATTCTTCTTATCTGTGTGATGACATGACTCAAGCATCTCCTCTTCTGTGTCACACCCTCCAAGATTCTCCCTTCCTTAGTCTGTCTGATTCCCCAGGAGCACAAAGAACTGAGCATTGCCTCCTAGTGACAGTCATATAACTTTAATGTAATTTTACAAACAGCAACTGTTTTATAGTCATTTGTTTATGTGAAGAACTATCCAGTCAGCATGTGAGCTGCTGAAGGATGCAGTGTGTTTTAAGTCCAAGTCATCAGCGATTAGATCTTGACTCAGAGAGAAGAAGCCCTATAGTTATTGAGTAAATGGAAGACAAAAATAAATATCCTAGCTTTATCTGATATTGGAATATAACTGGATGAGGTGCTTCACATCCAAAAAATAAGTAATTGACCTGTTTGTATCAGAAATCAAGTTTTCCTCCCATCTCTCAACAACTTACTATTGCTCTAGTAATAACAGCTACCATTATATTGACAAAGCAACAGTTACCATTTTCAGTCCCAGTTAAGAGTGAGGTACCTTTGTAAGGACTTCACATCTGTGACAAGTGTGGATGGATTTATCTGTGTTGCACCTCCCTTACTCTGTGAGGGTATCATTTCCTGGGTTCCCCCACCCCCAGCCACCCCATGCACACACACTTGCCTCTTCTTTTGAAGACTTGCCCTTCTTTACTTGCTCTACTTCAATCTTGTTATTCTGAGGCTGCCAATTATACAAACAAGGCCAAGGGGCTCTGTGACCACATCCAGGTCCATAAGTATTCTTTGTAATTTTAAATATTGAAACTAAGGGAAAACAAGTCCTTGCTCTCAAAAAAGCTTCATGGAGAAAGCAGTCAAAAATAATTTTAATCAGAGTGGGAAGAGTGAAGAAACAAGAGACGTTGCCCCAGATCCTGGTTCTGGCTATTACCTAAGCCACAGCGCTTCCCTGGTGTCCCTCAACCCACAGTTTGCTTATGGAAACTGAGATGAAAAACAGCTATCTATCTTCCAACTAAAGCAACACCCCGTATTTCCTTTAATCCTCCTAACAACTATGTGTAACAGGTATTACCTTTATTTTATTGATAAGGAACGAGAAACTCAGAACAGAGGAGAAACATGCCCAAGGCCTCCACTTAGTAACTGAACTGTGATTTCAAAGATGGGTCTTCCTAATACCAAAAGGCAACCACTCATTTTCCTGCCTCTTTCTATACTACTCTTCTGGAACACCAATTTGAGCTCAGTGACCCTAAACACTATGCAGTAAATATAAGTCTTCTCTTCATTGATAAACATAGATGTCATTGATCTTGATTAACTCCTGGGGGTATTACAGACTTCAGTTAAACAACCTTCATAAAGTGCTCTCAGAATATAAATAGACATTGTTTTCTATACTACACTATCAAACATTTGCCTCTCACAATGTCAATAATTGGAAAGCAGAAAACAGCGATTTCTTAAAAAGCAACTTTAAAAAAAGCTGTGCATACATATTTGGTATCAGTAACTTAATTAAACATTAATATGCTTGCTTTGAACACCAACATACGATTGGCATTTCAGAAGCGCATTTCCTCAAAAGACCTAAAGTCAGAAGACACAGCATTTCTAGAAGATTGAATCTTTCTACTTTTATATATGTCCTTTTTTTCAATCAGTTAGATTTTTGATTGGTACTTCTTGGGTCTCAGCCTTGCTTATAGATCTAACATGACAGTGATCTTCCTGGTCAATTATTAATCCTAACTTGAGAGGAATCATGAACTTAGGAAAGGAGAACAGCAGACACATGCAAACCAAAAGAAGATGGATTTGTTCATGAAACAAATTTTCTTCAGCAGAAAAATAGATTATCTCCTTCAAAATAAGGGTGTACTCAGATTGTTTTTTCATATTAGTATCTTATTTAATATGGCAACAGGCAAAAGGCAATCCATTAAAAAGCAATTTTCCTCTTACCACAGAGTGTTTCCTCATTTGATGTCTAGCATTCAATCAGAATGTACCAATCCTTTAATATTTTTGAGCAGAAAACAACTCACTTGGGTGTATAGACTTCAGACATGTGGGAGTCTTTTGAAGCCTTGCAAAGTGTCCAGAATGGCCTTTGCAGTAGATGATGAGCAATAGGTCAGCCTGAAAACTTAAAACTATCAAAACACTGGAAAAAAAATGCTTTAGAAGAGATAAGGGGCATTTAAAAATATACATAATGACATATAACTGACAGGAAAAATGTCAGTCCCAACTTATTTACACTTTCTCAGCCAGAAGCTTCTGGGGACAGAGACCATATCTGGTTCACCTTTGTGCCTTCAGTGTCCATCATAGTCCCTGGCACATTGTAAGCAATCAATCAATTTGTATGAAACAAATGAACAAGTGCATTTGTCATCTTAGATAAAGGGAACCTGCCATGAGTATGCCAGGTCCCGGCTGTCCAAAGCCAACCTTGCTGAAGAGACCAGGGCTGCCTAGGTACTGAGTGAGTTGTGGCAAAATGTTGGAAGATTTATCTGCAGCATAATGTGAGATATAGAAAATACACAGCGCAAAACAGCATCTGCGGCACCCCTAGAGATCCCCAAGGTATTTGCCTTTACCCCATTCTATTATCTCAGCCCATAGGAATCAGGTTATGTCCTGGTTCCTGGCTTGATACTAGATCCTCAAAAGTCTGAGAGGGCTGCTGTACACCAGCCAGACATCAGCCCCTACTCTGCATCCAGTCCCTCCCTTGAGCACAGAGCTGACATTCACCTGAGCAGCTCACCTCAGCACTGCTGAGACTCCTGCCACCCACGGCTACCCTCCACCCATCAGTCAGGCCCCTGGACATGGAGGTGAGTCCAAGCAGATCCACATTTACCTTGCCCACACACAGCCTGGAATTGGGCCATCTTTTCCAAGTTAGTCCCCCTAGGCGGAATATTATTTGTTCCCTCTCTCTCCTACTACTGCAATTTCAACCACTGAGGTTATTTGAGATCAAACCAAAATGAACACAACTATTCAACTCATTATCCAAAGTACTACCAATCAATTTCTATGAAGATGTAAGAGCACAGTGACATTTGTGAACACATTACCCAAGGACACGAAGGGCATTGGTGGCAGAGATATACCCCACCTCCCCTTTATTCCCAACTGTCCCCTACCTGCTGTGTCTCTGTTCTGTGTTGACTTTTAGCATGAGAAACACATGTCTTTTGGGCAAAGGAGAAGAGCAGAAAGCTGGGTATGGTGGTCAAAGCACAAAAGTGTGTACCTGCTGCTGTCGTCCGGAGGAGAGCTGATAGCCAAAGGGGGCCACTGGGGAAGCTGGGAATGGGGTGAGGGAAAGGGTGATGCGGGGCAATAACCTGGACACAGAAGTACCAGCCAGGCAGAGCATGACTGTTCTCCACTTTCTGAGAATCTTAGATAGCCCTGCAATGCTTTATAGCAAGTGACTTTTCACAGCTACCCCCATAAAACTTAGATAAACATAAAATAGTTACAGTTATCAGACTGAGGATTTCAGTAGGATTTGTTTTCGATTGAAGTCTTTAATCCTTTAATAGAATAAATAGTAAGCTATACAGCAGATACAACTCTCAACAAGTTAGTCTCATGAGGAGTAGGAAGGAAAATTCACATCAAGGGTCCAGGTAAACAGGAATGTTACCCCTGGTCGTCAGTGACCTGAGCACATGAACACAGAAATCTCAGGGTGGGCTGCTGCTCTACTAGTACAGAACTGCCCGAACTTGGGCTCGTAAGCAATGAACTTTCATGATCGTCCAAGTCAGCTTCAGCTTCTTTCCCCCGCCCACCCATTCTGGAGGGTAATGCCTGCTGCGCTTGGTCAGCCAGGCTCAAATGCTCAGGTTTTCGTTACTAAGTTCTAAATTTTCTAGTTTACCTTAGCAGCACCTGTAGTCAGTTCTACATTGTAAATAAAACATAATGCCCTTTCCAATTTAATCATCAGATTCCTTCCCATTAATCACTCCAGACCATTATGTTAAGCTCTCCAGGAGGTAACTGAACATTTATGCTTTCCCAGTAATACCGAACACCCAACATTTCTCTGATATAAACGGCCTTCTCTGGTGCCAATGTTATTAAGCCTATGAGGAAAGATGGCTCCATAGATGTTGGAGGGAATGGAAGTCCACCGCTTTATGGAGGCTTGGTGTTGGCAATGATTGCAAGCCAAGTTAAATCAGCTTCACCCTAACAGGTTTAAGTCGAATTATGCCAATGACCAAAAGGCAAGAAAATTGCCATGCCCTTTTTTTTGGAAGTCCTCTCCTAAATTTGATAATATAAGTAAGAAAAAGCAATAAGCTTATCTCTGATCACATTTTTGATGATCAGCTACCTGTTTTCTTCAATAACCCTTTTTTTCTTGCAGAAAGCATTCTAAACAAGGGAGATACTGGCAGCAAGAGGATTTCATGAAAGTATTCAAATACAGAAATATTGTTTCTAAAGAAAGAAAATGAGCTACTGATAGATTCTAAACTGGGATTTTAAAACAGAAACTCATAGATCTTTTTCCTAAACAGAGTAGTAAATGCAATGCTGTTTTTATACTCATTTTTGTGACATTTGAAATTCAGTCACAAAACCTGAAAATGTTTCCATTCTTGTAGATGTTAATAATGGTTATTCCCATAGAAGACATGCAGAAATATATACACTGGAAACCTCAGGCAAAGAATGTTGGATCCACAGCAACACATATACATAGCTGCCAGCACCTTGGGAATTCTCTGCATTGGTCAGGACGCAGCCTAGGTCACTGGGTCTCTGCCAGCTTGTGGGAAACAAGCGTACTTACGCAGCTCGCCCACTTTCAAGATCTCACACAGCATCTTGGTCAGCTCTATACTACTGCGGCCAAAGGGACATTCATGCTTATCTTCTCGGCTACTGTTCTCAAGCACAATCTGCAAGGGGAAAGGGAACAGGTCAGAAAGGGAAGTCAGTTTGCAGAAAACAGCAACATGTTGGCTCTGCTGTAATGGAGAAACAGATACACTCCAGATCACCAAACTAAGGCACTTGGGGGCAGAACAGGATTGTACTCGAAGTATATTCTCAGTATATAGCACAAAAAACTCTCCTGCTTTACAAACCTCCTAAAACCTCCTTTGACCCTGTAAATTTTGTTTGTTGGTTTCCACTTACCCAGAGGTGCCCATGGAGTTTTCCAAAACAGTACAATAAAGACTTTTATTTAAGTGACAAAACCACTCTCTTTTCCTCCCAGTCACATCTTGCCTTTCCTGGGAAAAGCAATTCTTCTTCTGTCACTTCCTCTCCTACATTTTAATCATATATTTCCCACAGAAGTGTCAACGTTCTTGCAAGAGCTCACCCTGGCATTAGTTGACTAATGGGATGCATGCTACACGCCCATGGGAGGCATCCCATGCCCATAGGGTGCATGCTACAAACCAGACCAGCCAGAGTTCCTCCCTGGGATGCATCATACCAAAAGTGGAGAATTGGCTTTGTTATGCTGACTGACAACCCCAGAGGGGTGTGAGCACAGGACCTTTCTGAATGTGAGCCTGCAAAGAAAATGAAGAAAAGCAAGCTAGAATGCAGAGGAAACCAGGAAGGAGACAGTGGGTGCCCAGCATCTGAGTGCCTCATCCCACTGGATCTTGTGACAAAGCCACTTCCCTGTTCCTGCTGTTCATTTGCTCAACCTCTCCTCTGAAAACACCTGGGTCTACTGAATAAATGTTCCCCTTTCCTAAAGCTAGCTGAGACGTTCCTACCATGACTAAGGGAGCCATCCTACACATAGGTCAAACAAAAGTAAAACAAAGCAACAAAACTCTATTTTAAAATTGCTAAACTTCAAATTCCCAAATTCATGTGTCAATAAAAGGAATAACCAGCTTATCCATCTCTGTAGCTGCTTCCAACTTCCCCACTGGAGTTGTCTGGGCACCTCCTCAGAGCTGCCCTGCCCTCAGTGGGTGTCTCCCAGGAGTGTCTTGGGCAAAGCTATGCGCTGACTTATGTTGTTTATCCCTTCTGACTATGAACCCTCAGTGGCAGGAGTGGTGCTTTATTCATTCAATCGATAATAGTAACGGAGCACTTATTATCTGCCAGAAAGATGACTAGGCCCCATACGAGGGAGAAGAAGACGAGCCAGGGCTCTGACCTCATGGAGCATTCATGCTGACTGAGGGAGGTGGATAAAATGAAAGAGGTAATTATATTTTATCACAAGTGCTATGAAAAAGATTAAATAGTTAAGGTGGTAAAGAGCAAGGAGGAAGGCCTGCGGGGATGGGGGGAGGGGACAGTTTAGGTAGCCAGGTGCCTCCTGGGAAGAGAGAGTGCTTGCCATCCCAGAGTCTGGGAGAAAGGATATTCCAGGTGAAGGGATCAAGGACAGAGCCCTTGAGTTGAGTAGGATGTGCTTCAGGCAGGCCAACACACTGCCTAGTCTACCATGTGGAGGGGTTTGCATTGTGCAGGGTAGCAGTTTGGTTCCAGGAGCCTGAGGAGGGGCAGAACAAGCCCGGAGCGCCCAGAGATGGATCAGAGCCACTGACCCAGAGCTGCGTGGGGTGTCAGACATTCTGACCCTGACTGGCTAACCATGGGATTTAGACAGGCAAGTGACATGACCCGGTTTGTTTTTAAATGGTCTGTGAATGTGGAGAATGGAGAGCAGGAAGGAAGAGACAGAGCACAGCCCTTCGGGAGGGCCTGGGCAGCAATCCTGGCAGAGCACAGAGGCGCAGACTGGGCCTGCGCAGGGAGCTCAGCGCAGGTAAGTGATCAGAAAAGGCAAGAAGAGGAAGACACGGAATGAAGAGACAAGGAGGGGAAGGCCTTTAGGAAAAAGAGATAGAAGAAAGAATATTTGGAAGGAGGGAAGAAGAAAAGAGAGAAGGAAAAGGGGAAGAAGGAAGAGTAAATGAAAGTGTTGTTTATGATACAAAGTTCCAAATAGTAAAGTGAGGGAGCTCAGGCGGATTGTTTAAAGCCAAAGAGTAGGATGTTAAGAAAAATGTGTGCCAATTGTTTTCTGAATAAACATCATAACAATAGCACACACATACACACTTATTATTATATGCATTAATAGTACCCCAATAACAAATCAGCCGTTTCTACCTGGGGATGTTCCTTCCTGCATTGCATTTAAACCTAGTTGTCATTACAACATAAGGAGTTTGCATATTCGATCTCTTCCACTTGGTGCATCACAGGCATTTTTTGCAGCCTCCATCATCACTTAATCTCCCTCTTGGTTGTCCAGGAAGTCAGTGAACCATCCCATTTTGTGGCACTTTTCAACCATTTGCAACATATGCTCACATAAATAAATATGCATTGAATATCATCATGAATATAGCCTTTATTGTCCTTGGGACTTAGGATAAAAATGCGTCCTTACAGTGTCTTTAGGGAACACAGGTTTTGGGTTGGTTGGTTTTCTTCTGAGAAAGCTGAACATAAAACTCCAACTAAATCACTCCTCCTGCCAATGCAGGGAAGGACCACTGCTGGAGTCCTTCTGGACAATCTGTCTGAGCACAGAATCTCATTAGACTGAGCCTGAATTACCCTCTTCTGGTTACCAGAATCCTTTCTAACTCTAACCAGGGATTCAGCTCAGAAAAGCAGGAAGAGAGAACAACTCAATTCCCATCAATCAGTGAATCTCTCTTTGAAACATTTTATATCTGAGACAGCCACATACATCATGGAGCAAATCTGAACCTCCTGATGATGGGGAAATGAATGGAAAAACAGAGCCGGAAGAAGACATAAAGAACATAAAGAACAGACAGGAGACAGGGAGCTTTCAGGCAGCTCCCAGCTCCCAGGGAAGACATTCCCCTGCATTTCACATTAACATTCTATTAACATTTCATGAGCGCATCCATATTTAATAAGGATGTGATCTGCATACACTGTAGGTAGAATTACTGCAGCCAATAAATGTTCCGGAAACATTTCCAACGCACTGTTTATTAGCAGACACTAAATTAAGGAGTAATTTAAGTAATCAATATGTAAATCAGCTTGGAGAAGCCCATCTCTTTACTCTTTAATGTACCATTCATCTTATCATATTTACTCACCTAAAGAAAAATAAACCCTCCTTCTTAACTGATTTCGTTACACAAGGCAGACACAAATCTTTAAAATTAACCTGCGTGGGTTTTAAGGTCAATACTTTTACAGAAATATTTAGAAAACTATGACTAGGAATATTACTAATAAGATATTACTGTAGTGAAAGAGAATTCTTAAACTGGACAGTAGCTGTTTTAAAAATTTAACACACTGATAAATCTATATTTAATTCTATATTCAACATACTGATATTAACCATGTTCACTGGAGACATTTTGAAAAGTTTCATTTAGGAATATCAAGGTGTATTTTTCATCTTTATTTTTTCCTTACTTTTTGGTTTTTAAGAGGAAACCTAGTAGAACATAAACAATAATAGATGGGGTGCTAAAACCTGCTATTATCACTCAGAATATGTCATACACCAAAAGAAGTTGTAACTGCATGTTTTGTAAAATAAAACACTGGCTTTGTACGATAGTAAGTGTAAAACATTTTATAAAATATTGTTTACAAGGGTGTATTTACCTATTTTCTATCAGCTGAACCCCAGTAAGTCCATAAGATTGATAAGGCAGATATTACTATTATTTTCTCAAAAATGTTGACAAAAGAGGCAGGTGACTTGCTTGATCATACAGCTAGCCTAGGTCAGTCATGAAATTCAGCTTTTAAGGCCTTTAATTTCCAAATCTCTGACTTTCCTGTTAATGGTTTACAAACGGCCTTCACATACTTATTGCGATGAAGCTCAGTGGAGTTCATGTCAGTTTTCTCTGTCTCACCGAAGTGGGTCTATCAATCCCAAACCTACCTAGACAATGGTATAGCATTCTCTCTTCTCTCATTTCTGCCCTGAAGATCAGGAATGACTGCCTGGGGCGAGTGACCAAAGAGACTGCGGAGTGCTCTCACAGGCTTTACTTCTACAAGTTTCAAGTTTCCCTCTGAATGCTCTGTGCTCCTTGCCTTTCCTCCTCAGTGCTGCAGATCACCGATGCATTTGGCCTGGGCATGACCATCACGTGCTGAGTATAAGGCCAGCCACATTCTAGTGCCCACCCCTTCTCCGGCTCCTGGGACCACCGTTGCCTTCTCAGCTTCAGCACCACATTGCTCACTTAGAGGCAGCTCGCTGTCCCTGACATGGTTTCCTCCACTTTCAGTTGGAGTCCCTTCTGCTCTCCCTGTAGCCAGCTCTGGAGTGATCTGTGAGGGCCTCCCTCATCACCTCTCATCTCTGGATGCATCTTGTTCATGCTGCTTCAGCTCTAACTGAGAGTCAGATGAAGCCCAGTGGTCGCTTCACAGGCCACCAAGGATAGCATGTGAATTTGTACGGTGTCCATTTTGTCCCAATTCTGCCAAAAAGTATGTACATTTTGCCCCAATTCTGCTCCAAAGCTGCGATGGGAAGTACTGGTAATGTAGACAGCCTGACCAAGACTAGTGTAAGCATGCACCACGCATTCCATCCCTGTGGGCAATGCATAGAAGTTACATAAAACCCACTTCACAAGACTGTTGTGCACATTAAATCACAAAACAAAGGCAAAGTGCCTGAAATGGACCTGACAGGGTGGGTGTTTACTATTTCTTTATTGCCCTCCCTCTTCCTATTCCAGTATGGCCCTTGGTCAACATTTTACACAACACTTTTACCAGTAACTAAACCAAAATCATGACTGTGGTAGGACTGGCTCTCTGATGACGGGCCTTGGGGGACATAAGCAAGCATGAGAGGCATATGAATAGAGTGGTGTCTTCACCTACTTACACCAGAAACAAAAGATAGGAGGTTGTACGTGCCCATATTCAAGCAGGAATCTTC